GTGTACATCGTAAAACAAAACAAAAATAATTCGCGGATTTTCACAAAAAATTTCGCGGATTTTCAAAATTTTTAAAAATTTAATGACGATCGAATTTTGATGGAGACAAATATTTAAAATTTTGATCATTCTAAACCTTCCCTGGGGTCCCTAGATGTCCCACAAAAAATTTGGGCCCGATCGGTTCAGCCGTTTTGACGTTTATTGGATACAAACAGACAGACAGAAAAACAGACAGACAAGCCAAATTTATAGATAGATATATATTGCCAGGTATGGGGGGATGCAAGTATAAAGAATTTGATGACATTTTTGATCTGAAACTGGACAAACTGTAAAATTCTTTAAACCCTTGAATTCTTTTGAAGAATCGGAGAACTATGTTGTAAACATTCTTTGATCTTGTTCGACAATTTACAAACTATAAAGGATAAATAAGCACTATAGTTTCAGTAGAAGTAAATATTTCCATTTACTGATAGCGCCGATTGAAGGATTCATATTTCTAATTGGATATTGAGATAGATGTTACCGACATATTATGTCTATTGGTTCAGAATGGACACCAAACACATGACTGAACCCTGATTGGATGAGGTGCTAATGAACTCGGCATACATATAACGCATATCAGTGTATCTATTTATACTACACAGGGTTACCTACAGAAGATGAGAGTTTAGCGACTACTGTATATCTAGGGTCTATAGCTAGGGATCTGCAAAACACCATTATCTTGCCTTCCTTACCAACCCATACATGTTTGGATTTTATAGGCTACATTTTTGTGAGTTCCCTCCTGTATGTCGAGTCCATTAGTGCCTGATCCAATCAGGGTTCAGTCATGTGTGTGTTGTCTATTCTGAACCAATAGAAAAAGTATGACAGTAACATCTATCTATCTATCTATCTATCTCAATATCCAATCAGAGTTATGAATCCTTTAATCGGCACTATCAGTAAATGGAAATATCTACGTCTACTGAAACTTTTGTAAGATGTTAATATTGCGTTTCCCCTGTACGCCCTGTACGTTATTTCTTAAATGTGCTTCATTATTAAAGGGACTGTACGCGTATTTTCAAGTGACCCTCTATGGAAATATGGCAATGTTGAATTTGCCATCTTTGTCTGATTAAGCATAAATTAGTCCTCAATGGTTGCAGTTTTAAAAACTATTTATTTTTAATTGTAATTTTTTCAACGTAAGTAAATTGCAGGAAATAAACGCTTTTAACCCTAGAAAAAAATACAATATATTCCGTTATTAATCAGGTATTGCCATCTTTCCACGGTGGATCACTTCAAATTACGCTTATACTCTCATTAAGGTGTCGGAATGAGTGCTCTTTCTTGTGAATGCAGCATGGATTGCGCATGCAAATAATCAATTTATAATACTTTGATTGTCTGTCCGTTTGTATCTATTAAATGTCAAGACGGCTGAACCCGATTGAGTCCAGGAAAGGTTTATTTATGACTGATGAAAATTTCAAAAATTAGCCTCCAACTATTTTCGATTTTGATAAATTTGAAAATCAACGAAATTTTTTATATAAAATCCGCAAACTTTCTTTGCATTTCATAATTTTAAGAGAATTACTTATTACATTACAGACAATTATTAATATCGTTTCTTAATTTTGAAAAAAACATGTTGACTTCACTATATGCAAGAAAAAGTAATGAAATGGTTTTCAATTAACCCTCCTTTTAAAGAGCAGTTCAGCGTGTTAGATTCAATTTCACACTAGTATGCCGAGTACATTGGCGCCTGATCCAATCAGGGTTAAGTCATGTGTTTGCTGTCTATTCTGAACCAAGAGAAATTGCAAAGCGGTAACATCTATTTTTCTATCTATCTCATCATCAAATTAGAGATAAATCGTTATTGCGGCGCTATATTTGATGAATTCATCGTCGTTATCTTGCTTGAAAAATGGCATATTGAGGCGCTATATTTGAGGAATTCATCGTCGTTATCTTGCTTGAAAAATGGCATATTCTGACTATTTCTTTTAAGATCTCTTACAGAGTGACTTTAATTGTAAAAATCCTTTTTAACAAAAAAAAGAATTCATCATTTTATTGCAAATATGGTTTGAAAAGATACCGTTGTAAATCAGACCTGAACCTCTATAAAATTGGGATCAAATGTAATAACATGTTCAACCCTAGTATATTTAATTAACGTTTACTGATTTATTTCTCCAGTTTACAGGGAGCAGTAAGTTTAGTACAACATAAACAATTTTATAATTCATAAAAACTAGATCAGAGTAAGGGGGCTGGGGTTGAGTGGACAGGGGGTTAAATTTCCTTGTATTTTTTATATTATTATAAAAAAAGGAAAAATTACATACGTTCAACAATTTATGAGTTTATGTGATATAAGTTTTTCGCTTCTTATCAACAAAAGTCTAAAACAAAGAAAGGGATAACTTACCCTCATATATTTGCAACCTGAGGTCTTAGATTTTTGATATTTCTAACCATGAATTCTGTTTAATCTGATAATGAAAGTTTTTTCACATTTACAAAATACAATAAATCATTGAGACTTCTATAATTAAACCCGGCATTGGGCCGCAAAATGTTAGTAATTAGGCAGGAATGATACAATATATATGATAAAAATTAATACATAAAGTTTCATTTGAGAGTGGCGACTATTTTAGTCCAAAAATGGCCAATTTTAGGTTAGATGTATGGCAAAACAGAGATCATGTAAAAAGGACGTTTTTATGAACACTTGAGAAAGCATAGTTTAACATTATCTACATTATCATTAACGATTGATTTTCAAGCAAAATGATTGTTAGCACCTTTGAACAGCAAGTAAGTGCCCTATGTGAGACAAAGTACTAAATACAAAATGGCACAAAATACATAAATACAAATGATCTAAATAAATTTCCTATTTTCATATCACGGGACAATAATGACAAATCACTTTTGTCTAGAATGTAATTTCTAAATCACAGCAGCTCAAAACCAAAGACATAAAGGAGACTGATCTGTTCAGGACAAAAAAGTAGTCTCAGTTTGTCTTTGTTTAAAATATAAAACAATTCATAGTTTGTTCTTCTGTTTTGAACAGATTCACGAACTTTCTGGAGATTTTAATGTGCAGTATTCACGTTAAACTAAGTGTTCTGTGCATGTAGCCAATATCAAAAAGAACTGGCTGCTATTTCACTAGTTATAAAATTAGTTACAAGTTTCACAAAAATTGCGATTTTGACTGACTTATCGCAATTTTAGGAAATATATTCATCGCCCCGCAACAATGGCGCGGTTTTCCCAATTTTAACAGTTTGTGTGACATCGGACACTCGTTTTCGTTCAAAGAATCCAAACTTCCAGAGAATGAGAGTTATGATCACCACTAGGAGAAGACCGGCCATGATCGCAGTGATCATAATCCAGATCGGAACACCCTGATCATAGAATACGTTCATAGAAACTATTTTATTAAATAAAAAATATGATTTTTTTAGGTTATGCACAAAGGGATTGTGGAAAGGCTTTTATATTTATCATATTATCATATATATTTTTTTATTTTAGTTTCATAAAGTCTGCAAAAAAATCTCAGAAAAATTTGACTTTTAAAATTATGCTCTTAACAAGATTGCTTTTAGTTTTATGACACTGTGCAAATGGTAAATATTTCGCATAATTTCATAATAAAAAGTATCTTATAGCAAAAAAAATGATTGTAAAACTACGCATGGTCACAATTTATAGTAATGGTGCCTCAAATATATTATTAGTTTTCAAAATACACGAAACTTTTAGTTATTTTACTTCAAAATGTACGGAAGGTTTGAATATATATATTAGCAACAACAAAATGATTTTTATAAATAGAAAAAATAGTTTTTTTTATTTATTGAAAAGTTAATGTTTCTGTGACGTATCCCTGAATTCCGGTTTCCCCAAGTCCATCCGGATACGCAATGACACCGATCGTAACCTCATCATCGTGACGCATTTGTTGTCGAGCCAGGTCAGTCGGGAGCTGGAGTCGACCAACTGCATTGATTAGAACACTGTCGACATGAGGATAATCTTCGACTAAAGTCGAGTTCCACACTCGGGAGCTTAGCCTAGATAAAACAGTGAACTGCATAGTTTTTTAAATATCTTTTAAAATTTTCCAAATGTACAGGAATACAGTTGCAATAAAAAGGATCTTTTTAAAAAATGTTGTTGACTGTTTTTAAATTAAACCCTTTTATATTGTCGAAATGATAGCTAAAAAACATATATAGTCAATAAGGTAAAAGTAAAAAAAATATTCCGTAGCATAATTTTCCAACAAAATCACCCCCTCCCTCGCTCCCTTTCATATGTAAAATATTATCTTAATTTTATTCTTCAAAAAGGATTGGAAATGGTCGCTAAAAGCTCACTTTAACCAAATGTTCACGATTTACAAAAGCCGGGGGTAAAGGGAAAAATTATCTTATGCACTTTTTAAACAACACTTTTGAAATCAAACTCGAAATATAAATAATATTTGTTCTTTTCTCTTTTACCGAGGTTATAATGCAAGGAAAGTTAATTGGAGTTGCGTACATATTGAAACCAGTTCTTTCTGGCGGAATTTGTAATCAAGAATAGATGCATCAGTGTTCGTTTAGTATCCGAGGAGGTTAAAAGCATTTAATTTTGATATTTTTGATATTTCACATAGTAGTTTTCTATGACCAGAATATTTCATTGATTTTTTATGTGAAAGATGGATCCCATGTCAGGTTGTGACATCCTGTCTTGTGTTTACATTACCGCCCAGAGACAGTAGACTGCAGTACAAAAGATGCGTACTCCGCTGAAATAACTCTCATTGCATAATAACCTTGTCTTTTACCAAGTTCGAAAACTCCCTCTTTATAAAAGCAGTATTAATTTTCTTTCAGTAGCGCGGCCCAGGCCTTAAAATGTCTTTTAACGTAAATAATGTAAATTTATGCGAAGACTGGGAAAACACTTTAAATAAACATTTTACTATGAGAGTGTGTGTGGGGGAGGGGGGGAGGAATACTTCAACCAAAACATAAACGAAAATAAACATATATTTATAGAACAATTACACTAAAAAGGAATTACGAATGTAAGAATGGAAAAATATTAACGCTAAAATTTATACACGATTTGTAGGTTCAAAATTCCAAGGAGCAAATAAATTAGGTTTATACTAAAAAAGACTTTATAATTGCAATCTCACCAAAATTATACTTTTACAGACATCGACGTATATATCAATACAATGTAGACGACTTTCGATGTAATTTTTGACTTCTACAAACCTTATACATCATTGATACAAATAAACCTGGAAACGAAGAGAAGCTGTCAATTAAAAGCTTATCTCATTTATTATAAACTTATGTTATTCGAAAGAAAGCTTTTTAGCAATCAAAGCTTAAATAAAAAGTAGTTTTCATTGTATTGATATAAACGCCGACCATTGTATTTGAAATGGTAAAATATTAGTTTGTTAACGCTAACTGCCTCAAAAATAAAAAGCATTGATTTGACAAGTACACGATCCATTAACCGTACTGTACACTATTAGAAAGGTCATCTTACTATTCCAATTTTTGGCAAACTTTTATTTTTAAAAAACGATTTCTTTACCTGATTATAGCATGGTCTCCCCGACCTAGTCTAGGAATATCACAGGAAATCGACAAACATTTAGCAGTTCCTCGACCACAGTCGAATACAACCACCCTAGAGAGTCGACCATCTGCGTCGAATATTCGATCCGGGTCGATTCTATGCTCTGTGTCGCGTCGAACTCTCGGTTCGACAGAGTCTTTGAGATCACGTTTCACTCGGATTTTTTCGACATAACTTTCTGTTCTTTTCTCACTTTCGACTGTTTTTCTGGAGTACTTGGACTGTGAAGAGGAGATGGAGTTGTAGAAAGAGGAGTATTTGGTTTCTGAACTCCCGCTGTCTACCCATGACGGAAACTTCACGACTTCGTCCATTTTTGAGAAGTTGTTGATTCCCGGATTTTTGGGTTCCGTGTTCCCGGGATAAATATCTCGTGGATTTATGTCAGTTTTCCGTCTGAGTCCCAGAGAATTCACGTGTTTAGGGTTGAGGTAGCATCTGCCCACCCCTGGGGGACTTATCTCAACAGGGTCTGTTAGATATAGCAACCATTTTCCAAGGGGTAGATCATTCTCAACCTAAACAATAATTTTATATTTTCTGTGATAACAAAACTTTAAAGAAAAAACTTGCACCATGGTTTTCCCAGATTTTCATAGTTTCAGGCAAAGGTACAGGTACAGGTACAGGTACAGGTGCACCTTACCTTTATCGTCTGCATTGTGCACACTAGTCGGTGCGCTTGAGTCATGTGCACTGTACAATAAACAACGGACTGTACAGAGCAGAAAATAATTACAAAAAATTGTTAATTTTAAATTTTTTATTAAAATAAAACATAATTATGAAAAGAATTAAAACTTAAGGTTATACATTTTTGTAGTTTGGACGAATTTGTTTTAACATCACGATTTGAATTTTTAAAAAAATCAAAAATAATAATTATGATATGTTCTAAAAACACCCCTGCCTGCCCCCCCCCCCGGATATTCATCTTGAACGTGCATCCCCATAACCTACGTACACTCAAGTTTAACCATCTTGGTTAAACTTATTGGAGTTGAGTTAACCATAGTTAACCCAGAGTGACGCATGTATGTAATGCTACGAACACCATCTTACGCATGATTTGCGTATAAATTCATAATTTTCGTAAATTAGGCTTAACAAGGCGGTTATATAAAATATATTACAGGGCTATAGGATGGAATTTATCTATCTATCTCTATATCCAACATATTTCAGAATTAAGGCCACCCATACGGGAGGGTAATTATATTTCCCGCTTCTTCTAATTAGAGGAGTTTTCAAATATTCGACTTAAAGTTTATATGCTAACTTACGCAATGCTGGGGGGGGGGATTTCCGCCCCCCCCCCAAACTCAAAGAGTTAGGAAAAAATATTCCAATCTTCTTTTGCTATCGAAATATGGTCTACTTATCTACTACTTTATCTATGGTTAGTATGGTCTACGTTTTTACCTTAATTTTTATATAGAAATTTTTTTACATTGGCCCATCTAATCCAATCAAGACATAAAAAAGTCTATGATTTTTTAACCTCGTAGCTCCTCATGTTTTGATTTTAAGTATAAGAAAAATAAAAACTATTTCTTGTAAATCTGAAATCCCAAAAAAATTTTGTTTTCTCTAAATATGTTTCCAAATGAAAGTCATGATTGAACCTTTTTAAAAAAAATGTTCTTCAAATTTTACTTGGTCCCTAGTTAGGCCTTGTGAAATAGTTCCCCGCATTTCTATCTCAGGTTCTAGAAATTGACCATAACAACAATACTAGTACACACCTTTCATTAATATATCTTTCCTTGGTCAACTCCCTTTCACCCCCCCC